GCCCAGACTGCACCGTTGAGTCACCTGGGGCCCCACCTTCTGTCACACTAAATCAGTCTCTGATGTGTGGCCCAGACTTAGGGATTTCTAAACACTCTCCAGTTGATTGTTATGCGTAGCCAGGGATGAGACCCACTCTGCAGGCTAGGCCTCATCCGTGGTGGGGGAGAGTGTGTTGCCAGGGTTAAAATAACATTTTGTTCTGTGGCTGGAAAAGAAAAGTGAAAAGATCATTTGTTTTTAAGCTTTTGGTCTGAGATTCCTGAAAGAGAGACAATTCTGCCTGTTTCAAGGCCATCTTCGCTGTTTTTTTTTTTTTTTTTAATCTTCTAACTCTCGCTGTTTGAAGTTTATCTGCTCCAAGTGCAGGCAGCATTCTGCAAACACCTGTTTATCCCTGGGCAGTTCATGAGGGTTTGTAGGAGAGCTCTTTTCTGTGCCAGGTGGTGGGGAGTCCCTGTGGCTGCGAACCAGCCTTCTGTGGGACTCATTGTCCTTGGCTGGAGAAGGCAACCTTGAGCCCCGATACTCCAAGCATACTCTCTGGATCAGACCAGCAGCCTCAGCATCACCCACGAACTTGTCAGAAATGCAAATCTACAGTCCCCGCACCAGACCTACTGATTAGTAGGGGGTGGGGCCCAGCAATCTGTTTGATCTCTAACCCTCTAGATAATTCCTATGGGTGATGAAAGTTTGAGACTCACCCAGAAGTTCCAGGATGGGGCTTGATAATTTGCATTTCTGACAACTTCCCAAGTGATGCCTGTCTGGGGACCTCACTGAGAACCACTGGCTCAGAGAACCCCAAGAGTCTGACAACTTCCCAAGTGATGCCTCACTGAGAACCACTGGCTCAGAGAACCCCAAGAAGCCATGGGAGACTTTCACACTATTTCTTAGCTAAAGCCTTCTAGCCAGTATTAGAGACCTGGAGCTGGGACAGAGTGACCAGAGGAGAGTGGGAAGGGAGCACCTGCCACCTTAAACCTGAATGTGACCTCCATCAAGCCCTAATGTGACTGGTGCTCCCGAGCTTATATTCTCAACGCCAATTGTAAGAAATAGTCATTTACTGTGTCCCTCCTACACCCTTTACAAGGTTTATGCGTGTCCTCTCCTTGTATTCTGCTCTCAATTTTCCATTTAGTGTGCGGAAACAGTGGTTTAAATAATCCAGAATGCTTTTTTTCCCCTCCCCCTGATTTGGAAAAGTTTTAGATTTGTCTGTTTTTATTTTTCCAGATTAGGTTTTTAGATGTTTTTTGAGATCTGGGTTCAGTTATCAGATCCTTCCTCCTATCTGAGCTATCTTTGGTTTCTCTTTTTATCCAGCCTCAGTTTCCCAAAGTAAACTATTACCTCATAGGATTATTGTGAGAACCAAATTAAATAACAGGTGCAAAGTTCCTGTCACCTAGTAAATATGTACTAAATTTTAGTTTCTGTACTTCTGGTCTTATTTACCCCCAAATAAGTGAGTACAAACGCTTGCCCCCCGACCCCCGCCCCAGACCTTGTAGTTGATCAATATGCTGAAATTAGGGAAAAGATAAGATCTCTTCTGAGAAGTTGAGAGAAGTTTAGGGAATGTGGGGGAATGGAGCTGGGCCTCCCAGCGAGGGAGCTGCATGTCAGAAACCAAGACTAGATGTAGATGTCGCAGACCGAAGCTGGGTTCAAGGTAACAGAACCTAGAGCAGGGAGCAGCTTGCCCAAGGATGGAGAAGAGAATGAGAAGTGAAACTGGGCCCTCGGACGGGCAGCGTCGAGGACCCAGGCAGCACAGCGTGTGCAGCCTGGGCTCTTCTTCCAGGCATGGGTGTCTTATCTTAGGTGGGCTTGGAAAAGCCTGGACGCTCAGGGCTCCAACAGAGGGGTCTCCGTTAGGCTGCCTGGCTACCTTTAGTTACTTAGAGGAAATATTGACTTCAAGGACCTTGGAGATGCCCCACCCCTCCTCGGTTGGGACAGGACAGACACAGGACAGGTATGACCAATGCTGCATCTCTCCGGGACCTGAGTCCTCTTCTATGACTTTAATTTGGCCACTGGAGAAGTTCCATGGTCTTGGCTCCATGTTCAGGATGTCTGGACTGGAGCTAAAAAGAAAGCAAAGATTCTTAATTCCCTCTAATTAATGGTTGGCTAATATCTCCAAGCCAGAGAGCAGTACCCATCTAGCTTGTGTGAGATCTTTCAACGGGGTCATTTTCAACTCCATATCGAGAGGATCGTTGATGACAACGGCCAGTGGAGTGCGATGCCTCATGAGGTGATAAGGGGAAGCCATAATGGCGGGGCTTTCTGCTTTGAGCTGAAGGCTGGGCCTTTCTTGCTGTAGATTCGCTTCAGATCCTTCCTCCCACAGGGGTTGGGAGTGAGATAAGATGGAGCCTTAGCTCAGCTACTGAGGGCTCTTAGTGATGGGGGCTGCTGGGGAGCAGTTATCTGAAACCACAGAACCCAAAAGCAAGCAGAGAGCTGAGGTCAGCCTTATCAAGGAGTGCCAGAAACACTAAAAGTCAGGGACCCTGGGTGAAGAAAGCACAGAGAGGGCCTGCCTGAACAAATGGCTGGGACAGAGGCTGTTGCCAGAGTCTGACCAGCTGCCCTCGACTTCTCCATGAAGCAAGGTGTGTGGGAGGTTTGGTTGGATTTTAAAGTGGCTGACACAAGTGTTGATTCTGTGATCTATCTAATGAGGCACCATAGCTAGATCTGAAAGCAGTTCCAGTGGGCTTCAGAAATGCCTTACATTGTCTACAGCCATGCCACCCTGACCACACCCGATCCCGTCTGATCTTGGAAGTGAAGCTAAATAGGGTCGGGCCTGGTTAGTACTTGGATGGGAGACCACCTAGGAAGACCAGGTGCTGTAGGCGTAAAAAAAAAAAATGCCTTACACATAGGCAGCAGCATTTCAATAAGCAACTTTCAAAGATTAACTCTTAGAGAATAACTTTATATTTAAAAACAAACTATTTCATGCTAAGTGAAATAAGTCAGACAGAAAAAGTTGAGAACCATATGATTTCACTCATGTGTGGGATATAAAACTGAAAGCAACAAACGAACAAGAGAAACAAACAAAAACTCATAGACACAGACAACAGTTTATTGGGTAGCGGAAGGGAAGAGGGCAAGGGGCAAGTAGATAAGGGTAAAGGGGGTCAAATATATGGTGACGGAAGATTTGACTTTGGGTGATGAACACACAATGCAACATAGAGATGATGTATTATTGAACCGTACACTTGAAACCTATATAATTTTATTAACCATTGTCACCCCAATAAATTTAATTTAAAAACCAAATTATCAATTTCAGTAATTTTGCAAAGTCATTTGCATTTTTGTTTACCATAAGATAATTTTGTGAAGTCATTTTCATTTCTATCTACCTACTGACAACTAAAAAATCTGGTGGCAACAGACAAATGTTTAATATTTGGGAAATGAAAGAGAACTATTAAGGGAAAGATTTGAATTCTCGATAAGGAAAATAAAACAAGAATTGAATAAATGGAGCTATTTATTAAATGCAAATTAATAAATAATAGATATAAGTCTATTTCATACCTATCAAAGTAACAAAATAATAAAACTCAATGTTAATGTGCTTGTGGGGAAATAGACACACTCATAAATTGCTGGTATGCATTCTGGAGATCAGTGGATCAAAATGAAAAATGAGTTGCCAAAAAAGTAATTGTGTCCTTTGGGGAACAGTCCTGAAGGAATAAATTCTAGGGAAATAATGTAAAGGGAGAATGGTTATTTGTGAAAAAGTAATTGTAGCCACGCTATTTTGTATAGTAAAAATCTGGCCATTACCTAACAACTTGACAATTTGATAATGGTTGTGCAAACTAGAAAATATTAATATCCTATCATATGAATAACTATTAAAATCATAAATCTGAGGACTTTGGTGATATTTTTGGTGGCATATATAAGTTAAAAAGTGGAATGAGTTTGTTATGTGGACATTGATAACTGTCAAATAATGTGTATCTACTGTGCTATCAAGATTTCTCAATGATTTAAATCAGTGCTTCTTGGACTTTAGTGTGATTAAATCATTTGGGAATGTTGTTGAAAGAGATTTTGATTCACTAGGCCTGGGGGTGGGGGCGGGGGCGGCTGACATTCTATATTTCTAACAAAGTCCCAGGTAATGGTGGTGTTACTGGTTCTCCCACTACGCTTTGAATAGCAAAGGTCTACATCTCTGCCCTTTAGTGTGGTACTACCGGTCAGGTGTGGCTATTCAAATTAAAATAATTAAAATAAAGTAAAAGAGAAAACTTAGTTTCCAAGTCTCACTAGCTATATTTCCGTAGCCATATAGGGCTTACATCTCGGAAAGGTCAGATGACAGAACCATTTCACCATCATAGAAAGTTCAGTTGGACACTGTTGACCTAAATCATCAAGGCCTTAAAATGAAGGGGATTTTTATCTTTTTTTCCTAGAGTGGTTTGAAGTATACAGTTAAGAGCTTGTTCCATTCCTTTGTAGTCACAAATCAAGTTTACATTGGTATGTAAGATGTAGAAGAGACAAAGCTGTGAACAATTTCATGTAATTGAAATGTTTGATAAACAGAATTCTGTTTTCCCACGGACTTCATTGTCAGTATGTTACCCTAATCATTCTTTGTCTCTCAATGGACAGTCATTTCTAATAAATTGGTTTCAGTTTCTTTGCTAGTTTTTTTCCTCTTCTCACATTATTAATGTATACTAGATGAGATACTGTTTAAAGAAGTATTGTAATAACTTATAGATGTTTATAATTTGTGAAAAAATATACATACTCTCATCTAGATGTTTCATCAATTTATATTTTTGAAGTGTATTCTGTAAGCTGGACCAATCTGTATTAGTTATCAAAAGATAAGGGCATTGATCTTCAATGGCTAAAAGTTCCCTAGATGATTTCTTTTTCTTTACTTCTGTGAATTGGAAACACTGACAATTGTCATTTTCTTCTAGGAATTTATGCAAATATTCTCACGATGTTCTCTCGGAAGAGAATTTCAAAATCCTGAAACAGCATGAGCTCTCTGGACTGAATAAAGAAGAATTAACAGTGCTTCTTGTCCAGAGTGACCCTTTTTTTCTGCCTGAGGTAAGTTACGATTCCTTGGTTTAACAAGCAGGAAGAATATAGTTGGCAGTGTTGTGTCACGGATGTATTGGAGTAGGAGCAGGAGCAGGGGAGAACTCATAGTCAACATCAGGGCTCTGCAGGTCGCCACACCAACAGGTGACCTAAGAATCTCCAGCGATTTCCTTCCTACTTGAAATATTGTAAGAATTTGAGTCTGGAATGCCTCCTCTGCTAGGTTGCTAGGGAACCCTGTGTGAGCAAATGTGATCTGAAGATGCAGTGGACTAATTGATGCTTCACACCAGGGTGGCCTTCTGGAACAGGTGGACTTCGAATTGAAGTTTGGAATTGAGGGCCTATTGGTTTAGGGTACAGGCCAAGCTGTTGTAACAAAGAGACCCCAAAATGTAGTGATTCAAATAAAATAGAATTTTATTTCTCTATCACTTGATAGTCTCGATCAGGAGTCATCAAATTCCAGCCCATAGTCCAAATCTGGCCTGCCATTTCTCTTTATAAATAAAGTTCTGTTAGAACACAGCCACACCCATTCATTTACATATTGTCTATTACTGCTTTCTATACACAGAGGTGAATTGAGTAGTTGCGACAGAGACTGAATGGCCTGCAAAGCCTAAAATATTTATTATTGGTCCTTCACAGAAAAATATTTGTTGACTTTTGGTCTTGCCTATATGTAGGCAGGTGGGGCCAGTAGAAAGCAAGTATTTCCTTTTTAAAAGGTGCCACCTGGACATTGTACTCAGCGCATCTGCTTTCATCTCATTGGCCAGAGCTTATCACATGGTCACACTTAGCTGGATGGGAGACTGGGAAATGTAGTTTCTGACTAGATAACCAAGTGTCCAGCTAAAATTTGGGAGCTTCTATTACTAGAAGATGGGGACAGTGGTGGATGATTAACCTTCTATCTATACGGTAATATTGACTTGAAAATTAGAGAATGTTGTTTAAAGAATGGTGCCTAACCAGAGAAAAATCTTTGGAGTAGAGAAGTTAGCCTCATACTGAAAGAGAGGTACAGAAACATAATGGAAGACCCAAGTGGAGCGGGTGGAAGGGATGGAGAAAACTTAAGCAGGGTTGAAATTTAGTCGTGTTTTTATATATGACAAGATAGCTACTGGGGACCTCTGGAGGGTTAAACACTTTTTGACTCTAAGCTCAGTGTGTTTTCCTGAAGACTTAAAAAAAACTTATGACATGACGGGTGATCTGGGGCTGACCACTGAGCTCAGGAGAGAGAGGAATGCAGGGTACTCAATAAAGATTTGTTTAGGGAGAGGGAGAAGGAGGAAAATATATCTCATATCCTTTCCCCACCCCACGTATTCTTTCATCTAGGTACTTGGATTTGTCTCTTTCTGTTTCCAGGAGCCCAAGGTTTAGAGGTCTTGTTTTGGGATATCTATGGCCCTTGGCCTACGTGCCAGCCTAGTCCCCATGGAGAAAGATGCCCTACGCACCAACCTCGTTAAAGGTCCTGTTGACAAAAAGAGGCATCCTCTCCTTTCCCTTTTATGTGAAGGAATGATGAGATGAAGACTTGTTATGACATTTGAGAAAAGTGTTGACCTGTGGACCACCCTAGCTTTAAACTTGGAGGTTTGGAAACGTCAGTTATCAGGTCCAATCTCTGCTTAGTTCCTCAGAATCACCCAGGAATTTTTATATCAAATCCCTACAGAGCAAGGGGAGTGGCCACTCTTCCTTATCTAGGGACGAGGTCAGCCTAAGAACCTAGTAGAAAGTGCTGTTGTGGAGGGATCCCAGAGACAAAAGCACTGTAAGGATCCTCATAGGGGAATGCTCTCGTCATCCTTCTATCTTCAAAACAAGGGGGCAGTGTCACCTGAAGCTCCCTTTCCTTTTTAAGAATTCAGTACCTATGATTAGTAGGTGGGGAGGTTCATGTCTGAAGTTGATTTTTAGCTAATAACTTAATTGCCGTTTACCACTTGTCAGGGTTAAGATCACAGACTGGGAGACTGCACTGTTTCCTGACCTAGAGGTCTTCCTGTCGTGGAAAATTGACCAAAGCATCATGAGCATGTGTCTCCTCGAAAATGCCGGGCAAGAGAAGTCTCTAAAGGAGTGTTTTAATTTGGGGCATTAGAGCAGAATATTTTTGTAGGGTTTTAGCAGGAGGGGATCAGCTAGGCTCAGCTACTTCCAAGAATAGTTGGTTGAGGATGTTTCTTCCAAGGATGCTCCATCTCAGAGTCTGGGCTCTGCCGCTAACTATCTGTGTGATCTTGGACAAGGCATTTAATTCTTCTGCGTCTCCCTTTATTAGTTTGTTTTCATTTGTTCAGCTACACTTAGAAATGCCTGCAAGTGGAGGCAGCAGTGGACAAACACATTCGCTGCCCTAAAACACTAAAATCGTTCACACTTTTTTACTGGGAGAACAAAAAGCATCAGACAAGCCTGAATTTCTAATATATACATTAGAAATTCTAATATATATGTATACTTTATAT